CAGGAAGTGGTCTCAGAATTGTAATCTGATAAAAAGCTCAGGAGCTGTTAGGATTGTTCAAGCGGCTAGGATGTATCTTTTCCCCGTAAGTGGGTTTTCTGGTGAGATTCTTAGCAGATTGTAGTTTTATAGCTGGGGACAGAGAAAGGCCTTAAACAAATGTTAATTGTGTTGGAATTCTAGATGTTCAGTTGGCCAGTGACTTCACCTGGACTCTTGGGTGAGGGGCTCCCTTCTCTTTCAGTGTTTCCATAATGTTCCCTGCCTTTTTTTTTTTTTTTTATCCTGAGTCATAGGAATTGGACTTGTTGGGCCTGTTGGTAGAATGTGGATAGCGGATAGGAACTGTTTTAGGCAGATTTTAGTCATGGCCACAGAACCTGCATATTAGAGGCTGCAAGGCAGTGACAATAGCTAATAAAATAGAGAATTTCACAAAGCAGGCTGTCACTACGCAGCCCAGGCTAGCCCAACTCAGAAACTATCTCTCAAACTTGGAGAAAAATAATTTATATTTGTTTGTTTGTTTGTTTTTTGAGACAGGGTCACACTATGTAGCCCTGGCTCACCTGGAACTTTCTATGCACATCAGACTGGCCTTGAACTTACTGTGACCTGCCTGCTTCTGCCTCCTGAGTGCTGGGAACAAAAGCATGTGCCACCACGCCCAGCTAAGAATTTTTGTTTTTTTTTTTTTTTGGTTTTTCGAGACAGGGTTTCTCTGTGTAGCTTTGCGCCTTTCCTGGGACTCACTTGGTAGCCCAGGCTGGCCTCGAACTCACAGAGATCCACCTGGCTCTGCCTCCCGAGTGCTGGGATTAAAGGCGTGCGCCACCACCGCCCGGCAAGAATTTTTTTTTAATGAAACAGGCTCATATGTATAATCTCACCACTGTGGAAGCTGAAGCAGGAGGATTGCTGTGTGTTCAAAGCCAGCCTGATCATGTGAGACCCTGTCTCAAAAAGCCAAAACAACAAAAGAGTTTCTGATATGACTCTGAGTTGTGCTTTGTGAAGGAGGCACAGTCCCCTGTACCGTTCATCCCCGGGCACCCAGGTAATGGGCAGTAATGACAGGGCTCATTTCCAGGCCCTGGCTGTGGGTCCAGGCAGGAGTTTTGTGGGATACTGATGTGCTTTTGGGAAGGTATGCTGCCCACCCGTCAGACACTGGCTTCCTAGGCACTGCTCATGCCCTAGGGGAAGGTCTGAGGTAGTTAATCATTGTCAGCTCTGGGCAGCAGGTCTGCTTGGAATCATGTAGGAAGAGGGCACACTCCTGTCTGGCTTCTGGTGACCCAGTTAGGGCCCTTCTGAGGGACTGAAGTCCAAGGCTGTGTGAGAACCCACCACCGACCCTGCATGAGGTCATGCATGTCCTTGCTTTAGGCCTCCGACTCCACCCCAGCTCCTGACTGCATGCCTCCCCCTCACGGTGTGCCTTGAGGGAGTGAATCCTCAAGCATCCCACTAGGGTTCAGCCTCCCACTCACGGCAGGCCACTCAGATTACTTAGTGACACTGATGTGGTCTGGGGGGAAATGCCCCTTCTGAACACAGTCCAGCAGCTTTCCTGAAAGTCTGCCTCTCTGGCCTCAGGAACTGGCCACAGTCAGCTAGTTTGTTCTACCAAGTCATGGTGCCTTGCTGATGGGACTGGATCAGACACTTCCCTAGTCTGTGGGGAGCCAAGAGAGTCCTTGTGTTGAGAAACAAGGCCCAGCACTGTGGGCCATGTTGGGCAGAGGAGTCTTCTGTTTGTCTGTGTAAGAACAACAGATCTTTAATGTGCGGATTAATCAGCCAGGGTCTTAGTCAGGGTGACTATTGCCGCGATGAAACACCATGACCAAAAGCAAGTTGGGGAGAAAAGGGTGTATTTGGCTTACACTTCCACATTCAAAGTCCATTGCTGAAAGAAGTCAGGACAGGAACTCAAACAGCGCAGAATCTGGAGGCAGGAGCTGATGCAGAGGCCACAGAGGATTGCTGCTTATTAGCTTGCTCCCCATGCCTTGCTCAGCCTGCTTTCTTATAGAACCCAGGACCACCAACCCAGGGAGGACACCACCCACAATGGGCTGGGCCTTCCACCGTCAATCGCTAAGAGAATGCCCACAGGTTTGCCTGCGGCCTGACGCACGATTCGCCTTTCCCCATACTCTCTCCCTGTGTCCCTCCCTCCCCAACCTGATCCTCCGGTTCGCACCTCCACCTGCCAGGAGTCCACTCACAAAATCTATTCTATTTCCTCTTCCCAGGGAGATCCATGCATTCCTCCTACAGCCCTCCTTGTTACCTAGCATCTCTGGGTCTATGGATTGTCCAGGGCTGTGCTACATAGCGCCCCCTGGTGGATGCGAAGCTTACAGCATCCCCAGGCAGCTAAAGTGCTTCGAGAAGGTTCTCTGAGGATAGCCTTTTTCTGGTGAGTGTGTGGATGGGACAGAAGCAAGGAGAAAACTGGAGCTAGATAGCAGCTACTCAGTAGTAAACTTTCTCTAGGCAAAGTTCAGAGTGACCACCTTGGGCCTCATGAAGTGAAAAGATGGTACTTTGGAACCTTTTCCTGCTCAGGCCTGGGCAACCTACTGCCCACGGAGACTGGTAGCTCTGAGTGCAATCCAACACAGAATTGTAAACTTACTTAAAACATTGAGTCTCTTTTTCTGTGATGGTGATTGGTAACTTGTTTGAGCAGTTCTTGTAGACAGTGGTTCTCAACCTTCCTAACGCTGCGACCCTTTACTGCAGTTCCTCATGTTGTGGTGACCCCCCAACCAGAAAATTATTTTCGTTGCTACTTCAGAATTGTAATTTTGCTACTGTTATGCATCGTAATAAATGTCCGTGTTTTCCGATGGTCTTAGACGCACCCTGTGAAAGGGTTCTTTGACACACAAGGGGTTTACGAATCACCGGTTGAGAAACACTGTTGTAGATCATTATACTGGGTTTTTTTTGTTTTTCGTTTTTTTTTTTTATAATACTCTTTTGACTTGGCTTAATTTTTGCAAACTCAACATGGATTTTAAAAGCAAAGGCAAGGCAGGAAAGATGGCTCAGGTGTGTAATTGGAGCTTTTGGGAGGTTCAGTTCGGAGGCCCGCAGTGTGTTTAATGTGAGTTCCCGGAAGCCTAAGCTATGGGCGTAGACCCTGCCTCAAACAGAGACTTTTAGGTCTCATTTCCTGAGTGTTAGCCTTGTCTATACCCAATCCTGGGCCAACTTTTCAGATAGTTTTATTTAACTTTTGAGTGAAAGACAGGCTTTCCTGAGTGGTCCAGACTGTCTTCAGCAGCAGAAACTGGAGCCTCCACCTCCTAAGTGACAAATGTGTACATCAATGGGTTGCTTGTGTGGTTTGTTTTGTTGTGGTGGCTAACTCTAACATTTTTCTTTTTTTAAAAGATTTATTTATTAATTATGTGTACAGTGTTCTGCCTGCATGTATCCCTGCAGGCCAGAAGAGGGCACCAGATCTCATGATAGATGGTTGTGAGCCACCATGTGGTTGCTGGGAATTGAACTCAGGACCTTTGGAAGAACAGCCAGTGCTCTTAACCTCTGAGCCATCTCCCCAGCCCAACTCCAACATTTTTTTTTTTTTTTTTTTTTTTGAGACAGGGTTCCTCTGTGTAGTTTTGGTGCCTGTCCTGGATCTCGCTCTGTAGACCAAGCTGGCCTCGAACTCACAGAGATCCACCGGGCTCTGCCTCCTGAGTGCTGGGATTAAAGGCGTGCACCACCACTGCCTGGCCTAACATTTTTTTTTTTTTAATGATTTGTTCTTTATCTTATGTGCATTGGTATTTTGCCTGCATGTATGTCTGTGTGGGGGATGTTGGGTCCCTTGGAACTGGAGTTACAGACAGTTGTGACCTGCCATGTGGGTGCTGGGGATTGAACCCAGGTCCTCTGGAAGAGCAGCCAGTGCTCTTAACCACTGAGCCATCTCTCCAGCTCCTGTTATAGTCTTCTGACCTAACATTTTTTTTTAAATGCTAAGAACTGAATCTATTGTCTTGCCATGCACATGTTGTAAGACTTAGCTACACCTAACATTTGCATGTCTTTTTTTTTTTTTTTTGCTTTGAGACAAACCCTGAGTGTTACCATCGCATATGAGGGTCCAGTTGCCCTTGGTGTTGAATCCTTGAGCGCTGCTTACCTGGTATATCTTTTTTCTATTTCTCCAAAATAGGATTGCAGCCCTCCAGATAAAGGGGCAGTTTCGTGTGTGTGTGTGTGTGTGTGTGTGTGTGTGTGTGTGTGTGTGTGTGTGCCCAATCGGTGCCCACAATGTTGTGTGAGCCAGGGCAGAGGTCACACAAGCCTAGGGACCCATCAGTGAGGACCTGACTCACTGTCCCAGCTGGCTTACTAGAGAGACAGCAATGGGAAGACCAAGTCCTGGAGGTGGAGTGGGGCCACAACAGGTCAGGCTGTCACTCCCCATGACTGCCACAGCCCTTTGCCACCGCCTTCCCTGTATCCTTCCTTCCCTTCAGAACTTGGGGTTCACCCCCAGCTGATGAGGGAGGGAATGAGTGACAGGCCAACTGACCAATGGGCCCCAGAGGATGGGCTGGGGTGGGGCTTCTGCTGCCATGGAGAGGAGAGAAGGCTGTCTGAGAGGAGGGTCAGAGGGAAGGAGACCTGGAGACAGAGCAAACAAAGGGGTCATGAGGAAAAGAGTGCACTGGCTTCTTGAGGCTCTGCAGAAGCTGAGCAGGGAGAAAGGGCCAGGGACAGATGGGAACCTAGGGTGTCTGGGGCAAGCATGCCTTGAATGATGTTGTTTGAAGAGTTGTCATACAGCAGTTAACGTCTCAGACCCCAGCTCTGAGTGCTGGCATCTGAGCCTTCTGGGCTACTGGGTACATGGAACCAAACCCCGAGCCTCTGAGTTTGATGAGGGACCTGGGATAGGGTTCAGGAGCCCAATGTTACCTGTCTCCTTCCTTCCTATCCATTCTGGCCTTCTCCCACAGACAGCAATGGAGGGAGAGGGTAGATACCTCAAGGATGAAGAGGGTGTCAGTGGATGTGAGGACTGTGTCATCATCAATGGGACCAGCAGTGACCAGTCCTCAGACACTAACAATGTTCCCTTGACCCACGTCTTGGAGGCAGTCTGCCCGGTGGAGAGCAGAGGTAGGTGGGCTGGGAGGAGCTGGGGTGGGATTATATTCTGACACAACAATACAGCTGCACACCTTGGCTGGGACAAAAGCTCCTCCCTGGCTCGTGAAGAAGCTATGGGGATTCTGAGCACCCTCACATGGCTCCTTAAATGGGGACTGGTCTACTCACAGGACACAGGCAACATCAAAGCTCTGTCTTGTCTCTGCCCACAGCCTCCTGCCTCTTTCTTCTCCTTGGGACTCTGAGCAAGAGCACCCAAGATGGCGGTTCCCTTACTTTGCCATTCCTGGTAGGGCTGGTCTCAGCGTGGACTGGATCGTGGGTCCTCTGGCTGTGCTAACTTTGGCATCATCATGGATGAGAGGTGCTTCCTACTGCCCCTTCCTCTGAGCACCTCCCAGAACACCTGGAATTCAGCCCCCACTGTGTGAAGCCTTTTGTGTTGTCCATTCCTGTCCTTGAGACCTGTGGTGCCATCAGAACTTTCTGTAAGGGCAAAAGTGGCCACTTTCCTTGTTCACCCCTGTAGCCACTTGACCACATAGAAATACTTGAAATGCATCCCCTGTCAGAAACTGTCCTGGTAGTTTCTTCTTTCCTTTCTTTCTTCTTTTTTATTTTTTATTTTTTCCCAGACAGGGTTTCTCTGTGTTGCTTTGGTGCCTTTCCTGGAACTCACTATGTAGCCCAGGCTGGGGGACTCACAGAGATCCGCCTGCCTCTGCCTCCTGAGTGCTGGGATTAAAGGCATGCGCCACCACCGCCCAGCTTCTTCCTTCCTTCCTTCCTTCCTTCCTTCCTTCCTTCCTTCCTTCCTTCCTTCCTTCCTTCCTTCCTTCCTTCTGTCATTCCTTCCTTTCTTTCTTTTTGTTTGCTTGATTTTTTTTTTTTTTGTGTGTGTGTTTGTTTGTTTTCGAGACAGGATTTCTTTGTGTAGTTTTGGTGCCTGTACTGAATCTTGCTCTGTAACTCACAGAGATCCACCTGGCTCTGCCTCCCGAGTTCTGGGATTAATGGCATGCACCACCACCACTGCCTGGCAGTGACTTTCTTGAAGGAACTGGATGCCTCCCTTCCATACTAGGACCCCAAATGTTACTACTTAGCTTGTAGGGAGGAAGGCATGAGCCCGTGCCCTGTCGCTTTATGGGTACACAGAGGAGACAGGGACACGGCATGGTCTCTGGTTTAGGGGAGAGACTAGAGGAGGCCTGTCAGCAAGGAGCCTGCCGCCCCTTCCTCTGAATGTGTACTTTGCTTCTGTCCTCCATAGACTGCAGAGCAAGCTCACGACCATCCAAGAGGAAGGTCTCCAGCACGATTGCAGACATTCAGGTACCGTCTCCTCCTTTCCGGGGTTCTGGGCATTTCTTTTCACTTTCAATATATGGGTATCCTGAGGCTCAAAAAATGTGAAATCTGGAGGTTAAATTAAAATCTTCACTCATTATTAAGCTAGAAAGTTTTGAGTTATTGGGTCCTTCTTGTGTGTTCTGAAATTAGTTCTTAATTTATCAATATTGTTGATAAGTTAATACAGCAAACTTCACTTATTCTAACATGGTCATACCATCTTTGGACTTTTCGTTTTGTCTTGTTTTGTTTCATGTTGAGACAGGATCTGTCTGGGTAACCCTGCTGGGCCTGGAGACCTCTGAGCAGACCAGGACTACAGTCATGTCGCCACACCTGACTTTTTGTTTCCTAGCTGAGAATCAAGTCACAGCCTCACACATGGTTTAACCTGGGACTATATCCCAGTCCTTAAATTTTGGTTTTTAAAGCCCTCTATTCTTATCTCAAAAAACAAGATACATCATAAACAAACAAAAGACCCAAACCAAAGAAACCCCCAAACATAAAATACTTAGGAATGAACCTAACCAAGAAAATGAAAGACTTCTATAATGAAAACTTAAAGACATTGAAAAAAGAAATTAAGGATGAAACTAGATGATAAAAAGACCTTCCACGGTCTTGGATTAATAGAATTAATATTATGAAAATGGCTCTACATACACAAATAATTTACAGATTTGATACCATCCTCGTCAAAGTTCTGTAACGAGTCTTTCTTTGTCCCATCAACTCCCCCAAAATGACACAGAGACTTATTAACTATGAAAGCTTGCCCTTGGCTTAGGCTTGTCCTACCAGCTCTTATAACTTAAATTAACCCATTTATTTTAATCTATGTTCTGCCTCGTGGCTCATTACCTCATCTCTGTACTGCTCATGGCACTTCCTCGAGTATGGCTGGTGACTCCGCCTTCTTCCTCCCTGAGTTCTCTCTCTCCCCGGAAGTCCCACCTAAGCTCTTCCTCACTAGCTATTGGCCATTCAGCTCTTTATTAAACTAGTCACAGTGACACATCTTCACACAGTGTAAAGGAATATTCCGCAACAAAGTTCCAATGACATTTTCCAGATAACTAGAAAAAAGCAATTAAAAACTCATATGGAAATACAAAGGATGACAAAAAACTGAATAGATCCTGAGCAGAAAGAACACTGTTGGAGGTATCACAATGCTCCACTTCAGATTAGGTCACTGAGTTATGCATGGCAGATACTGTATGAATGGACCTGGAGCTCATTAGAGCTAAATAGAGGGCCCAGAGGTAAACTCACACAGGTATGACCACCTAATTTTTTTTTTTTTGCTTTTTCGAGACAGGGTTTCTCTGTGTAGCTTTGCGCCTTTCCTGGAACTCGCTTTGGAGACCAGGCTGGCCTCGAACTCACAGAGATCCGCCTGGCTCTGCCTCCCGAGTGCTGGGATTAAAGGCGTGCGCCACCACCGCCCGGCATATGACCACCTAATTTTTAACAGATGTCAAAAACATACCCTCACAAAAGGATAACCTATTTGACAAATGGTGCTGGCAAAACTGGGTATCCAACTTATAGTCATCTGAATAAGAGTGGCCTTCATAGGGCCGGGCGGTGGCTCACGCCTTTAACCCCAGCACTCGAGAGGCAGAGCCAGGTGGATCTCTGTGAGTTTGAGGCCAGCCTGGTCTACAGAGCGAGATTCAATACAGGCACCAAAACTATTTGGAAAAGGAGAAAGCTAAGCTTAATTAGCACATCCGCCAGGCCTTCTCAAACAGATAGTGTAGCTTGAGTTTTCCTGCCTGGCCCACAGTCTGGACAAATCTCTCTCACCTGCCAGTCCCACAGCCTCTCAGACCCAACCAAGCAAACACGGAGACTTATATTGCTTACAAACTGTATGGCCGTGGCAGGCTTCTTGCTAACTGTTCTTACAACTTAAATTAATACATTTCCATTAATCTATACCTTGCCACATGGCTCGTGGCTTACCAGCATCTTCACATGCTGTTTGTCATCGTGGCAGCTGGCAGCGTCTCTCTGACTCAGCCTTCCACTTCCCAGCTTTATTCTCCTCCTTGTCCCGCCTATACTTCCTGCCTAGCCACTGGCCAATCAGTGTTTTATTTATTGACCAATCAGTAATACATTTGCCATACAGAACATCCCACAGCAAGGTAGTCTGGATGCTTAAGTCTGTTCTTAGAGAATCTGTGAGGTATCTCAGATAAGATACTTTTGTATCTTGTATACTTTATCCAGGGGATGGGCCTGGCTGGATGCTGCTGCTGCTGATAATTACAAAAAGGTCTGAAATTAGGGATCCTGGCTGCATTACTGCACAGAAGGTTATCTAAATATTCTTTAGTAGAGGGGAAATTGTGTCCAATGAATGATAGAAAAGCTACAATAGCACATGAGAAATTCATAGCAGGAAGTGGCTAATAATCAAAAGCCAATATCACCAAGACTCCTCGAGCCTTGGTCTCATCCTCTGGAAGTGTTCTTAACTCCTCCAGGTATAGCTTTGTCATAATCAGCTGAATTCCTACTTCACATATTTTTTGTGGCTTGCAGTACATATGTTTGAATACTTGGTCCCCAGATAATGGAACTGCTTGGGAAGGATTAGGAGGTGTGGCCTTATTGGAAGAAGTGTGTCACTGGGAGTGGGTTTTGAGGTTTCCAAAGCTCTTGCCACTCCCAGTGTGCTCTCTCTAGCTCCAATTTGTGGATCAAGATGTGAGCTTTCTGCTGTTCCTGCCATTATGTCTTTTTTCTGCCATCAAGGACTCTAACCCTCTGGAACCATGAGTCCAATGACATGCTTTCTTTTATAAGCTGCCCTGGTCATGGTGTCTTGTCACAGCAATAAAAAGTCTAAGACATACCTGTGGAGGAGTAAAATGAGATTCATATTTCTTACCCTGTAAAAAAATCAATTCAAAGTGGATCAAAGACCTTAATTTAAAACCTGAAATGCAGCCGGGCGGTGGTGGCGCACGCCTTTAATCCCAGCACTCGGGAGGCAGAGCCAGGCGGATCTCTGTGAGTTCGAGGCCAGCCTGGTCTCCAAAGCGAGTTCCAGGATAAGGCGCAAAGCTACACAGAGAAACCCTGTCTCGAAAAACCAAAAAAAAAAAAAAAAAAAAAAAAAACCTGAAATGCTCAAAGTGCTAGTGGGAAACATACAGAATATAGTTCAACACAGAGGTATTGGACGGGGACTTTCTGAACAGGCTTCCAGTAGCATCAGAAATAGTCCCAAGAATAAAGAGACACAGTCACATGAAGTCAAAAATTTCTGCACGGCAAGGCTGGAGAGATTGCTCAATGGTTAAGAGCACTGACTACTCTTTTAGAGAACCCAGGTTCAATTCCCAGCACCCACATGGCAGGTCACAACTGTGTGTAACTCCAGTTCCAGGGGATCCGACACCCTCACATAGACATACATGCAAGCAAAACACCAGTGCACATGAAGTAAAAATAAATGAATATAAAAAAACCTTTCAAGCACAGCAAAGGAAACAGACAGCCTACAGAATGGGAGAAAACCATTGCCACCAGATTTTAGGCAGGAGTTTGGTAACCTGAGTACATAAAGAGCTGCAAAAATTAAACCCCAAGCTAGTTATATCTAGTTTTTATTTAGAAGCTCAGCTTTGTTACTGGTAAAAAAAATTTTTTTCACATGTTTTTTTTGCACTTTTTTTTTGAGACAAGATTTCTCTGTGTAGTCTTGGCTGTCCTGAAACTCACTTTGTAGACCAGGCTGGTCTCGAACTCAGAGATCCACCAGCCTCTGCCTCCCAAGTGTTGAGATTAAAGGTACGTGCTGAGTTATAGTTCCATCATGACTTTCCCTCCTCGTTTTATCATTCTCTTGTTAGTTTTCCCCCAATTGTCAGGCATCAGGGACAGTCCAGACAAACCACAGCCATAAACATGCATCTCCACTCGGCTTCTGTTCCCCTGGAGGATGGTGGGAAGCCCCTTGAGGGGACCTAGGGGATGTCCAGGAACAATGAAAAATTAAGGCAGGTGGCACACACCTGTTACCCCAGCATTCCGGGGGCAGCCTGGACTTCGTTGTGAGACTGTCTCAAAAATAAAAGGGACACCTGAAGAGGTGGCCTGCAGGGTCAGAGGGCCGGGATTGCTATTGTTTTTCTGTGGCTAGTTAGCAGTAATAGCACTTAAATCTGAGCCTGGCACTGAAATAAATGTGCCTACACTGATCTGGTGAAAGGACTGGTCATCTAATTTGAAAGGAACGCACCAGCAAGGACACACAGTTGCCAAACGAAAAGTTAGGTTCTTAATGCCTTGACCAGGCCTCTGGGTTTTCCACTGTTCGGTGTCTGCGTTCTGTGTATGCCGGGTTTAGCCTAAGGCCAAGGACAGAGTTGCTTCTTCTTCTTTTTTTTTTTTTTTTTTTTTTTTTTTTGAGACAGGATTTCTCTGTGTAGCTTTGCATTTTTCCTGGAACTTACTTGGTAGCCCAGGCTGGCCTCGAACTCACAGAGATCCGCCTGGCTCTGCCTCCCGAGTGCTGGGATTAAAGGCGTGCGCTGCCGCCGCCGCCGCTGCCGCCGCCGCCGCCGCTGCCGCCGCCGCCGCCGCCGCCGCCACCACCACCACCACCCAGCCAGAGTTGCTCCTTGGTCCTTTTATTAACAGGTATCTGATTTGGTCAGTTGGCCTGTGTCCTTCTCACACATGTGAATGGCAAAAATCGCCAGGACCCCCTGCTAGGCAGCATTGTGTGTTTGTCCAATTCCTGCCACTTGCTGATCGCCTGGGTTTTGCCCTTCAGTCCCATTGGGGATTTGTGGGCCTGTGGTTACCGCTCATAAAATCTTTTTAGTGTTTATGCACTGAGGTAATTTATTGCCAATATTTCACAGGGACAGATTGTTTGTTTGTATTGTAATCTTGTGATTACTGTAATCACAAAATCATAATTTCTATACAGGGATGTGTAAGTGGACATTAATCAGTGCATTTGCAATTCACTTCATAAAAAGGGTAAGTGATACCTTCCTGGGAGGGGAGATGCCACAGTCATGGAGAGGTTTTTCCCAGGATGATGCTTATTCATTGTACGCTGGATGTACTGACCCCTGCGATTTCGTCAAATGGGGGAAACTCGACTATATAATTTCTGTTTGTGTGTTTGGGTTCTCCCTTAAAAAAATAAAGAGGACAATCTTACTACAGGACATAATATACGGAAAAAAGATTGTAAAATTTCCTGGTCTTGTAATACCCCCCGCATTTCCAGACAGAATCTCACTATGTAGCTCCTCTGGCTGTTCTGGAACTCACTCTATAGACTCAGCTGGCCTCTTACTCACAAAGATCCGCCTGCCTCTGCCTCCTAAGTTCTGAGATTAAAGATGTGCTCCACTATGCCCGGCTGCAGTACACTTTTTATTTTATTTATCTTATTTTATTTTTTCAGAACAGAATTTCTCTGTTATTATATATATATATATATATATTATATCTATGGGTGTTTTGCCTGCATTGTATGTCTGTGTGTCACATGCATGCAGCATCACGTGCATGCAGTACCCTCAGAGGCCAGAATAGGGCATCGGATCCTCTAGAACTGGGGTTACAGATCTTTAGGAGCCTGTAACCCTTGTGGGTGCTGGGAATTGAGTCCTCTGGAAGGGCAGTCAGTGTTCTTAACTGCTGAGTTATCTCTACATCCCACACTGTGCACTTTTTAGTGCAAGTATTTAGCACATAGTCAGGTTCAAGTCAGCAAGATACTGTAGAATGTGATGCCCCAGTCCACTAAGTTCAAAGAGGGTAAGGACATATAGCTTGTAATAATCACCACCACCACAACAATAATAAACATATCCATGTAATTCATAAAATGCAGAGTGGTTTGTTTAGATAGTTTTAAATTATTTTACCATGAATAAAGGGTTAACTATAACAAATATCTTAACAGGAATAGTTTTGTTTTTTTGTTTTTTATTTTTTTTAAACAGGGCCTCACTGCGTAGCCCTGGCTAGTGTAGAGTTTTGTGTAGACCAGGCTGGCCTTGAATGGGTAGAGAACCTCTGGTCTCTGCTTCCTGAACACTGGGATTAAAGGTGTGTGCCAGGAGAGACAGGGATATTCTCATTGGTAGACCATGGCTCTGCCTCCCAGAGCTTTGTAAGTTTTTGCCGTTGCCCCGGGTGACAGCGCTGTTGAACTCTTTCGGCTGCTCTTTCTCAGATCGTGACACTTCCTTTTGAACTGTTCTGGAGGTCTGCTCAGTGTCCTCTCTGTTCACTAAGGTTTGGCTTTCTTTCACGTGCCCTTCGTTGTTGTTTTTTTTAAGCATTTCAACGTCGTTCGCCTCTTCCTTAGCTGTGTTGCTTGTGTGACTTGGCTACACTGGAAAGCTGTCTCCCTTTCACAGGACCTGACAGGAGACGGAGATGAAGGTAGAGACGGTGAGGTGGAGGTCAGCAGCGGCTCTGGCACTCCAGTGATGCCCAAACTCTTCTGGGAGGCGGCCAGGACACCCTCTAAGTCCCCAGCAGTAAGTTCCCTCTTGCCGAGCCCAGGCACTTCCCACCACTCATAGACCGGCATAGAAAACGAGGCGTAGGTGGTTCAGCAAGTCTTTGCCCATGCCTGTGTTTAAATCTATATTAAACCAACCGGACCGTGTTGGCGCACACCTTTAATCCCAGCACTCGGGAGGCAGAGGCAGGCAGATCCCTGTGAATTTTGAGGCCAGTCTGGTCTTCAGAGTGAGTTCCAGGACAGCCAGGGCTACACAGAGTAACCCTGTCTTGAAAAACCAAAAAGAAGAAAAAAAAACTGTATTAAATCTTTAAAAAGTGTGTGCCTGTGCTCAGAGGCCAGAAGAGGGCGTGGGGTCTCCTGGAGATGGAGTTGCAGGCAGTGTAAGCCACATGAGGAGGGTGCCTGGAACTGAACTCAAGTCCCCTGAAAGAGCAGTAAAGACTTCAACTTTGGAGCTTTCATTCCAGCCCCTAAATCTTTCTGTTAACTAGCTCCAGCTCTGTTTCGTTAAAAACAACAAACAAACAAATATAACTACAGGACAAGGTCTGCCTCTTTCTCCTGGGTGTTAGGCAAGCTCCTAAGCCTGTGACTTTACTCTTTGCCTGGCCTTGTTGGAATTACATTGAATTCCCATGGCCCAGTTCTGCCCCCCCCACCCCGCCCCTTGCAGCTGAGCTGAAAGCCACTGGCGTCTACTCTGCATGTCTCTTGTGTCTTTTCCTGCTGTCTTGAGGCAACTCCAGCAGGTCCAGAACATCCTCCTTCTGTTTCCTGATGCACAGGAGCCAGTTCCCCAGAGACCCTGCCCTCTCTGAGCTCAGCTTCAGAGCCTCTGGTCATTACCTGCCCTTGCACTCACATCCTTATTCTGTTTCTGCCTTGGAGTCAATGGCAGCCAGCTCTCGTTCTTATAAAACAAAAGGGTCCTGGTTTGTTTCTTCACTCTTGCTTGCATGGGATTTAATGGAGGGAGGCTGTTCATATGCACCCCCAGATGCTTTGGTTTGCTGGGACTCAACCTTTTCTTTCTGTCTACAGTCCCTGAGTTGGCAAGCTACCACTTCAGCAAGCATGTCATGGCTGTCGCCTGTCAGTCCTTACCCCACCATTGACCTCACAGAGGAAGAAGTGATACCCCAGAGCATCAGTACCCCATTGGTTGACTTGAGTCAGGACAGCTATCAGGAGGGCATGGATACCACACAGGTGGATGTGGAAAGCAGAGATGGAGATAACACCACGTATCAGGTACCACTGAGAAGGGATTCTGCCTGTCTTAGCTAGGGTTTCTATTGCTGTGAATAGATGCCATGGCAACGCTTATAAAGGAAACCATTTAATTGGGGTGGCTTACAGTTTTAGAGGTTTAATCTGTTATTATCATGGCGGGACATGGCATGCAGGCAGACATGATGCTGGAAAAGGAGCTGAGAGTTCTACATCTTGATCCATAGGCAACAGGACGTGAACTGTGACACGGGGTATAGCTTGAGCCCACCCGCACAGCGACACACTTCCTCCAACAGGGCCACACCCACTCCAACAAAGTCACACCTCCTAATAGTGCACTGCCTATGAGCTTATGGGGGTCAATTACATTCAAACTGCTATATTCCACTACAATATCATAATACAAAACGCATTAGTCTAACTTCAAAAGTCCCCATAGTTTATAACAGTCTCAAACTTATTTTAAAGTCTAAAGTTCAGTGTCTCTCCTGAGATTCATGAAATCTCTTAACTGTAATCCCCTGTAAAATCAAAATCAAAAAGCAGATCACGTACTTTTAACATATAATGGCACAGGATATACATTGCCGTTCCAAAACATAGGGAAGGGAGCACAGTGAGGAAACACTGGACCAAAGCAAGACCGAAAACCAGCTGGGCAATCTCCAGACTCTGCATCTCCATGTCTGATGTGAAAATGCTCTTCAGATCTCCAGCTCCTTTCAGCTTTGTTGACTGCAGCACACTTCCCTCTCATGGACTGGTTCCACTCTCTGTTAGCAGCTTTCCTTGACAGGCTTCCCACGACTCTGGAATCTCCAGCCACTTGGGGTCTCCAAGTCAATCCAGGCTTCAATTTCACAACTTCACACAATGGCCTCTCTAGGCCTCCCTTCAGGAACACCCCTGACACCTGTCTGGGCTCAGTGACTTTCTTTAGTCACAGAGGAAGATTCCATAATCCCTTCCTTTTTTTTAATTATTAAGAAATTTTCTATTCATTTTACATATCAACCACAGATCCCCCTCTCCTCCCTCCTCCAGCCCCCCAGCCTTTTCCCCCAACCCACCTCCCATTCCCATCTCCTCCAAGGCAAGGTCTCCCATGGAGAGTCAGCAGAGCCTGGTACATTCAGTTGAGGAAGGTCCAAGCCCCTCCTCCCTGTACCAAGGCTGTGCAAGGTGTCCCACCATAGGCACTGGGCTCCAAAAAGTCCCTTCATGCACTAGGGATGGATCCCAATCCCACTGCCTAGGGGCCCCCTAAACAGTTCAAGCTAAACAACTGTCTCATCTATCCAGAGGACCTAGTCCAGTACCATGGGAGCTCCACAGCTATTGGTCCACAGTTCATGTGTTTCCACTACCATAACCCATTTATTGTATCCTTGACTCTAAAGCCAGAACCACGTGACTGAAGCTGCCAAGTTCTGCTGCTTGCTGGGTCTGGAACATGTCATTCAAGTACATCTTCTTACCAGTTTCCTGTTTTCAGTGGTTTCCTTCACTACCTAAACTTGGTTGTTATGAAATGCTAAGTTTAAAAGTGTGCACTACTACACCCAGATCTCAACTTTTCTTTAATTCATTTTCTTTTTTTTTTTTCCTTTCTGGTTTTTGAGACAGGGTTTCTCTGTGTAGTTTTGGTGCCTGTCCTGGATCTTGCTCAGTAGACCAGGTTGGCCTCAGACTTACAGACATCTGCCTGGCTCTGCTTTCTGAGTGCTGGGATTAAAGGCGTGTGCCACTGCCACCCAGCCTTTAATTCCTTTTCACAAGTTGGGAACTTAGCTGGGTAGGATCTTGCCCTGAGGTCACCACTCCCTTTGTTCCATTTCTTTTTTTTTTTTTAAAGATTTATTTATTTATTATGTATACAGCATGTATGACTGCAGGCCAGAAGAGGGCACCAGATCTCATCACAAGTGGTTGTGAGCCACCATGTGGTTGCTGGGAATTGAACTCAGGACCTCTGGAAGAGCAGTCAGTGCTCTTAACCTCTGAGCCATCTCTCCAGCCCCCTTGTTCCATTTCTTAATCTGTTTGTCTCCTTGAACACAGGACATGGCTCCATTCCACTTCCTGGTTCTCCTTTCCTCCTCAAATCATACATTTTGTATTTTTCCTAGCTCAGTTTTTTTCCTTTTCATTATATACCTTCATTAGAGTTAATGCTAATAACCATATGACAGAGTCTATATTATGCTGTTTTGAGATTTCCTCTGCCAATAGAATTAATCCAAATATCTTCACTTTAGCCTCAGACAGATTCTTCAGACAAGGACAAAAAGCAACCACATTCTTCACCCAAATATCTCAAGAATGATCTCTAGGCAACATACTAAAATTCTTCCCCTCTGAAACCTCTTGAGCTAGCCTCCCATAGTTCAAATCTTCCATGCTCCTATCAGTATGGCCCATTAAGCAGTGCTTAAAGCATTCCACCATGTTCCTAACCCAAAGTACCAAAGTCCAAATTCCTCTAAACAAAAACATGGTCAGGCCTTTCACAGCAATACCCCAGTCCCTGGTACCAACTTCTGTCTTAGAGTTTCTATTGCTGTGAAGAGACACCATGACCATTATCATCATGGTGGGACATGGCATACAGGCAGACATGATGCTGGAAAAAGAGCTGAGAGTTTTACGTCATGATTCACAGGTAACAGGAAGTGAACTGTGACACTGGAGTAGCCTGAGCATAGGAGATCTCAAAGCCCACACCCACAGTGACACACTTCCTCCAATAAGGCCACACACACTCCAACAAAGTCACACCTCCTAATAGTGCCACTGCCTGTGAGCTTATGGGGGCCAATTACATTCAAACTACCACACTGCTTTAAGCCTCTGAATATAGGGAAGAGATAACAATTGTATAGTGATCAACCATTATGATTGTTGTCATTTTTTTTTTTTTGAGACAGGATTTCTTTGTGTAACAGCCCTGGTTGTCCTGGAACTCTTTATAGACCAGGCTGGCCTCAAACTCACAGAGATCCACCTGCTTTTGCCTCCTAAGTACTGGGATTAAGGGCGTGCAACATCATGCCCAGCGATTGTTGTCATTTTTATCGTACATTACAATTCTGAGTATTTTCCAAATGCAACATGGCCCTTCCTTTGCCCGTTCTGTTCCTGGACATCAACATGAACAGTGTCTCTCCCGCCCACCCCCCCCATGTGTATGTGCATAGTGTGTGCATGTGCAGGTCGAAGCCAGAGGTCGACATCAGATGTTTTCCTCATCACGTCTCCACCTGTTATTGTTGTGTTTGTGTGAATGCGAGAGCGCAGGTTGTGTATACCACAGTGCGTGTAGAAGGCAGAGGACAGTCTCCGGTCCTTGGCTCCCACTGTGCTTTGAGACATGGTCTCTTGCTGTTTACCACTTTATGAGACAGGCATTAGCCCCCAGGCTTCAAAGGATTCTCCTGTCTCCACCTCTCTCATGTTCTAGGCATGCTAGATAACAGAAATGCATTATTGCATGCAACTTTAAATGGGTTCTGAATTCTGGTGCTCACACTTGCATGGCAAGTGCTTCATCCAATGAGCCCTCTACCTTACTTTATTTTATTTTTATTGCATGCAGAGTTTAATGCAATTTAAATTTCCTTTTATGTATGTGGATGTTTTGCCTGCATGTATGTGTGTGTACCGTGTACATGCCAGGTGTCCTTAGAAGTCAAAAGAGGGTGTTAGATCCCTTAGAACTGGAGTTACAGACAGTTATGAGTCACTGTGTGGGTGCTCGGAATTGACCCTGGGTCTTCTGGAAGAACAGCCTGTGCTCTTAACCACTGAGAAATCTCTCCAGCCTTCTCCACCTTATTTTTGAGACAATGTCTCTCACTGGCTCAGGGCTCACCAATTGGGCTATATTGGTTGGCCAGGAAGCTCCAGGGATCCTTCAGTCTCCTCTTTCCCAGTGCTGGGATTGCACCCACGTGCCAACACGACCAGCTTTTGATGTGGGTGCTGGGGATCCATGGTAAGTACTTCACTAATGGAACTATTGCCTCGGCCTCATGGACACTATTTTCTGAATGTTGTTTTCTTTTTCGCATATAGAATAAAGTACATTCTGTTCCTGTGCCGACATGTATCCTGGCTTTTGCCACCTAAGCACTAGGGTGGGTTCACTTTCAAGCATCCATCATGCATCCAGGGTCTGGAGCATCATTGAATTAACCAATTGAGCTTGTATGTATGCATCGCTGCGTGGTACCTTCCTGCACACGGGTATCTCCTGGTGGAAGTCTTTTCTATGTGTGCCACTTCACACTCCTTTGTACTGCAGCTTTGTGATTTTGTTGGCTTTTGTTTTGTTTTGAGACAGGGTCTCACTATATAGGTATCCTCCCTAACTGACCTGGAACTCACTATGTAAACCAGGCTGGCCTCGAACTCACAGAGGTCCACCAGTCTCTGCCTCCTGAGTGTTGGAATTAAAAGCCCAGTTTTGGTTTGTTTGAATGAAGTAGTGTGGGAATTAGCAAAAGATGTAACATAGATTTAGGCAGACTTTTGTGGAATGGGAGACTTAGGACAAGGACCTTACACCCTCAAGAATGGGCACGGACTTCTTGAGAGTCACTCTAGCTGTGCTTTCACAATTTTTTAAAAAGATTTTATTTATTAATTATGTATACAGTGTTCTGTCTGCACGTGTCCTTGCAGGCCTGAAGAAGGCACCAGATCTCATTGCAGGTGGTTGTGAGCCACCATGTGGTTGCTGGGAATTGAACTCAGGACCTCTGAAAGAGCAGTCGGTGCTCTTAACCTCTGAGCCATCTCTCCAGCCCCGCTTTCACAGTTTTTAACATAATGTTATTATTTGAGAATTTCAAGGTACATGTAATGTATTTTGATCATATTCACCCTCTACTCCTCCCCTTCTTCCAGATCATCCTACCCTCACCACCTGCTCCCAACCTTTTTTTTTTTTTTTTTTTTTTTTTTTTTTTTTAACTAATCCACTTAATCCAACTTCTGCTGCCCATATACTCCTGGATGTGGGCCCATCCACAGGAGTGTGGTGGTTTGGGTTTGGTTTTGGTTTTTTTGAGACAGGGTTTCTCTGTGTAACAGTCCTGGCTGCCCTGGAACTCACTTTGTAGACCAGGCTGGCCTTGAACTCACACTCCTACAGAAAGCTGACTCTTCCTCCCCAAGAAACTGTCAACTGTCAGTGGTTCTCAGGTAGGGGTGGTGGCTCGAGAGCCTCTCCTTCCTCCATTTGCGAAGGTTGACTGCTTGCTCTTGTGCAGTCTTGTGGAGACAGAGCTGCTGTGAGTTCATGAGTGCAGTGAGACTCTCATGTCCCGAAGACACTGTTTCGCTGCAGTCCTTCCCAGAGTGTTACCATCTTTCCTCCCCCTCTTCCATATGTGGGAAAAGAGAGATGGCTTCTCCTGGTGGCCTGCCATGGTGGTGTCCTGGAAACCACCTCCCAGCACCAGGCCATGCTAGGCATGCAATGGGGATGGTGGTTTAGTGATGGCAAGTTTTCTGAGGTGAGCTCGGGGTAAGGCAGATTTGGGGGTTCACAGACCTGAGGGCTGGCTTCCCTACTGGGGTTGCTCTGAAGACAGTTTTCTGCCAATGGATGCAGTGAACTTTGATGCTGAGTCTGGACAAAGACTTCCGGAGTTACTTCCCTTAAACTGACTCTTGGTGGCATGTGGGATCAGAGACAAGTCTACTCTTGAGAAGGGTAAAGGGTTAGAAAGTTCTGGATTCAGAGCCCCATGGATTTAAATTCATTTTTTTGGCAATTGCTTCTTTGGGGTCAGAGTCACCATTACAGGCCCTGATAGCACAGGAACAGCCAGGCACACACCCATGCATTTAGAAAGAAGCCTGGGAGAGACAAGAGGGATAGGTCCTGTCCCTTAGTGTCGTTTAGTCCTCATGGAGGGCAGGAGGCCATGGCTGGGTAGGAGTGAGGCAGACTCTATCAGCAAGCCACTCCACCAGACCCCAGTTTGGATCTTATAGCTGTTGCACAAATGGTCTGAGAGCTACACAGATTTTGAATTGAAGGATGTAGATAGAATGGTTTTCCTATAATGGTCTCCTGGGAATGTTACTCAGTGCTGGATCAACTCACAACATAAGAGACAGGGACACAGGGAATGGGGCAGGATGAAAGCACATGGGAAACTATTAAAAACATTCCTGGGGGGGGGTGTCTGGGGGGTGGAGAGATGGCTCAGAGGTTAAGCGCATTGGCTGCTCTTCCAGAGGTCCTGAGTTCAATTCCCAGCAACCACATGGTGGCTCACAACCATCTATCATGAGATCTGGTGCCCTCTTCTGGTCTACAGGTGTACATGCAGGCAGAACACTGTGTAATAATAAAATAAATCCTAAAAAAAAAAAAGAAAAAAGAAAAAAGAAAAAAAGAACATTGCTGGGAGGGGGTGGGGGGAGGCTGGAGAGATGATTCAGCTGTCAGTTAAGAGCACTTGATGCTCTTCCAGAGGTTTAGTCCAGAACCCACATTGGGCAGCTCAAAAACCTCCTGCAACTCTAGTTCCAGTTTATCTGGTAACACCCTCTTCTACCTTTCTTTTTTCTTTTCGGTTTTTCGAGACAGGGTTTCTCTGTGCAGCTTTGCGCCTTTCCTGGATCTTGCTCTGTAGCCCAGGCTGGCCTCGAACTCACAGAGATCCACCTGGCTCTGCCTCCCGAGTGCTGGGATTAAAGGCATGCACCACCACCGCCCGGCCCTCTTCTGGCTTTTGAATACACTAGCACACATGTGACACACGTTCATGTGGACAAATACACATAAACAGTTATAAGCCCTTTTAAAAAGAACATTGCTAGGGTTCAGCCTCCATTTGAGGTTCTGATTTTCTATGAGTTACTTTCCCTTGGGATCATTTCCACGCATAAAATTTCCCAAGAGAGGGAAAAAAAAAGGTTAACAAATCTATGAGAAACTTCATGCAGTTGTGCCGTGTGACCAGCAGAGGGCGGAAAAGGATAAGTGTCCTGGGCCTATGCTGGCCACGGAAGCATCACACTCTGGGATATGTGCACAATGACTTGTTTGGCATAGACGAGGGATGCTTGCTGTATCCAGTGAGATGTAACATGCTCATTTCTAGACAGGGTCAGATGGCAATAAAGTGCAGTATGGTGAGAGGGAACTATGGAATAGGATTACAGTGTGCTGTGGTCCAGAGCCTACCTGGTATCCACTGTGTTCTGCTCATGTCAGCTAGAGTACCTGGCACTTCCTTGTCACCGATGGTGGCCACACCACAGAGTTGAGGCTCTGAGCATAACATGGGGCTGAGTGTGAAAGCAAGCATTGCATTCTGGGACATCCCATATATCCGACAGCTGTGATAAACAGCCCGAAACACCTGCTTTATCTTCCCCTCACCAGGAATGCCACCCCACAATTCTTTCTGCATTGTCTGGGGACTTGGCACATGCAACTGGCCATTCATGATCAAGACTTACAATCATTGTGAACCGTAAGAGCTCATTCTGTGCCAAGCATGTTCTCTGAACCTCTGTTCATGATGGGAACTCACTGAATGAGAATCTGGAGACTCAATAACTGTCCTCACACCCAGGAAGGGCAAAGAGCCTGCACAAAATACATTTAAGCCAATTTCAGGACTGAGTCTTGTGTCTGTACCAGTGACACTGACTGTGCATACATGTGTGCACACATACACCATGTGAACATGGATGTATCTTATGTGTGCATTCTGAGCTTCATTCTTTCTCCCATTTGGAGCATCATGTGTTCTTGTCTCAGGTTCCATGATATGTGCTATCTACTGCCCTTCCCTTTTGGTATTGGTATCTGTGAATCATCCCAGGAACAGGCTCTGGGTGAATATATACACCCAGCGTGTCCACTTGCTCACTGTGGTGCGGGTAGATATTGGTGATGTCTTTCTCTCCCAGGTCTCTGCTGACAAACTGGTGGCCCTTGGCCCTGGGTTGTTTAGCCAGCATTTTAACCTGGCCACCTTCAATTAGCTGCTTTTTGTTTTATATTTTAATTTTAGTTTTAATTTTTTTAGTTTTTTGAGACAGGGTTTCTCTGTGTAGCCCTGGCTGTCCTAAAACTCGCTCTGTAGACCAGGCTGGCCTTGAACTCAGAGAGATCCACCTGCCTCTGCCTCCCGAGTGCTGGGATTAAAGGCGTGTGCCACCACCGCCTGGCTATAAACTGGTTCCTTATAGGAAGGCCATATACCACACTCTGGAGGTAACACAGGTATAGGAATGAGATCTTGACCTTAAGGGCTGGGAGGAAGGGAGAGCCACTAAATGTTAGCTCATGCCGTTGTGTGGCCAAGGTTGGCTTGGAGAAGACAGGGATACCATGGAGATGGTGAATGCCAAAGACAGAGGGCCTGATTGAGAAAGGAGTTTGAGATGTTCTAAGGTCACTGGAGAGTTTCTGGTACTGCCAGCTGGACTGGGAATGGTGACGGCTGTCTGGTGGGTGTTTCATGTGGAGAATGATCTGGATAGCTGTGCTTTTGGTTTCAAATAAACGAGTTTATTAAGTGAGTAGCAAGCAAAAGTAAAAGAACAAATAGCAAGCAGCAGCTAGACACAGCAGCTAGACAGAAAAACGCCAACCTATCAGGGGCTCATACTCTCCAGCTGGAGTAGCCCAACTGGGAGAGCAAGCAGAAGAAATGTCATCAAATCACCAAAGAAATGCCTCCGGAATTCCTGCTGACAGCATCAAGAAGCCAGACTTCTTGATCAAGAGAAACTCTCATCTTTATGGACGAGCTTCTGCCCCGTCATCCCACCGGCAGCCATCTTTACTGCACAGGATAAACCATGTAACCTCTGTGGGAAACAGTTTTACTTCTAGCCGCTCTCAAGGTGTGAGGTTTTTAATGCCTCGGCTGTTTGCTGTTCTCCTTTGTCCCTGTCACAGTGTTAGGGGCCCAGCTTGCCCAGGGCAGGGAGTTTGGGAAGACACTTGAAATCAATATGTTTGAGTCTGAGACAAGGGAGGGCCTTTCACTTCCGGAGCCAGCTCTCAGTGAGCTTAAGCAGCACGTGACCATGGACCAGTGTAACGTATGTCACAGGGGAAATAGTGATACTTCGGAATAGGCTGCCCCAGAGACGGGTGAGCTTTCTTTCTTCAAGCAGGGTCCTTCAAGGCCTAGAGGAGGCAGCCTGTTTGCCTCCTCTCCTGGTTTGTAGACACTGTATCTCCTCTCAGTCATTAGGCTCCCTACCACTTCCCTCCAACCCCTACCAGCCTGCCCTACTTGGCCAAGTGCCTAATTAGGCATGTAAATTGGCATTGGCCTTAAAGTGAAGAATGTGTGACTACATCCAGATCTTCTTAGGGAAGACACAGCAAGAAGTCTGCTGTCTTAGACAAGCTACAGGAGGGTAAGGTAAAACTGCCAGAAGCTCCTGTGTATTAAGTAACAAAGCTGAGTTGAAACCCTCCTTTGGGAGAGAGCTGACCACTCCCTGATTCTACAGGGGACAGCTCGTATGTGGTGCCTGCCCCTATAGTCTATTGTTTCCTTACCAGTCTCTCAAAAGCAGGCCCCTGTCACATAACAAAGCCAAGGACAGCTGTCCAGCTCTGAAAGACACCAGTGTTTGGGGAATACAGGCCCCAGCAGGAGGAATCCCTGGGTTCACCCTGGCACATACCTCATTCGCCTGCTCCCATTCATGGACAGACTTTGCCTTTATTTGTGTCTTGGCAGAGAGCCAGGGTGCGAGCTGGCAAGACCTTCCCCAGCAGCCCGGGAGACTCACTGGAGGACCAGCTGAAGCCCGTGCTGGAATGGGCCCATGGCGTCGAGGGCCTCAAACCAAACAACAAGCAACCAGGTGGGATGGATGGTACAGACAGCAGGAACTTAGAACCCAGGAGACACGGTATTCCCTTACCATCTTTGAAGGTTCTGTTTTCTTTGCTCTGTCTTGCGATTTCTTGGCATCTACGGTGCTCACTGGAGAAGAATCAAGTCTCCTAAGCTGAGCTGAGTCACTGACCCTCACATATGACCCCCAGGCTAACCATGGGTGCACATCCGGCCTCCTATAATCTTAGGACTCCCGCCTCCCCTTTTATGTCTTAATATTAATGGCATATATGTGCATCAGCAAATGTCACTTTGCCATCACAGGCTCCTTGCGTTTCTGTTTTCTGAGACAACAGTCTCACTACGTAGTCCTGTCTGGTCTCAGGCTAGGATTGGAATCATGTGTTACCTCATCTGGCTTCTTGTGTCTTTTGATGGGGATCTAATTTTCTTTCTTTGTATGTGTGAATGGGGAAGAGTCAGATTCAACCATGTCCACTGTGATTCAATAGATCAAATAAAACTAAAAAGAAATATTATTGAATGGGAGCCACAGAATGTAATTTACTCATTTTCTAGTAGTTTTATGCTAATATTTTAAAAAACTTAGCATTTCAACATTTAATCTATATAAAAGATTGAGATATTTCACTTTTCTCTAGTACTGTCCTAAGAAAATGATGTCTTTAGGTAAAAGTTAAACTGAAATTGATTAATGAACACATACTAATGTCCTAAATTGACTAAGTAGATTCCAGGGTACAATTCAGTCCAAATTAACCAAATCAGTAGCATCACTGGACAATTTGGACTTGACCCTCAGTGTGAAATCTTGTCCCTCCTGACATTTCAAATACTTAGTAGAGGCGGTGATGGTGGACACCTTTAATCCTAGCACTCAGAAGGCAGAGGCAGGTGGATCTCTCTGAGTTCAAGGCCAGCCTGGTCTACAGAGTAAGTTCCAGGACAGCCAGGGCTACACAGAGAAACCCTGTCTTGAAAAAACAAAACAAAACAAAACAAAACAAAACAAAACAAAACAAAACAAAACAACAACAAAATACTCAGTAGCTCTATGCTCCCACTGGGCATTGTCCTGGGTATCACTGTAGGAACCTCAGAGTTGCAGCCATGGTCCAGCATGTGCTCTGGGCAGGCTCTAGGAGGATGGATTCTCTTACACATTCAGATGTGTAAACCCCATGAACACGAGTCTGTCCTGCTTCCCGGGTGAGAGGAGCTTTGAATTGGCTTCTGCTCTGGTTCCCCTCTGGGGTTGTCTACACCCATCACTGTCCTCTGCTCTAGATGCAGCTGGATCCCAGACAAAGCATGGTCTTGTCCTAGGCCTGCCTTGTCTCTTAGACCTTCAGTCACATCCGTCTGCTTCCCCTCCAGAGAACAAAGGTCGAAGACGCACAACCAATGACTCTGCCGCTTCTGAGTACTGTCCCACACCCAAGCGCCTCAAGACAAACAGCTATGGAGGGAAAGACCGAGGGGAGGATGACGAGAGCCGAGGTGATTTGGGTGCTGGAAGGTCTGGCCATGCATGGTGCAGGACCAGGAGCAGCAGGTCCTCTGTGGGGTACAGAGGTGCACGGCTGCGTGGGAAAGGAGAGACTTCCCACCTCCTCTCACACCTGTCCCTCTCTCCTCAACAGAATGGATGGCTTCTGACATCACCAACAACAAGGGCAATCTGGAAGGTACTGTCGTCTCCTGGCCCTCCCTTCGGGGGTGCCCCAGGCCTGCCTTAGCCTGGCTTTGACCATCTGCATGGGTTTAATCCAGAGCCCTGTGTATTGACCTAGATCAGGACCATTTCTGTTTCTTCTGTATTCGTTGCTACATTTTTTTTGATCAAGTGGTGTGATTTGCTTTCATTCTTAACTGGATCAGATGCAGCCACTGACCAGGGTGACTGGAGTGGGGGAGGAATGGAAGCTGTGGCACTTTAGCCAATACCTGAAAACTCCAGATCAATGGAACCTTGAACTTTCCATTCAGTAAGCACAGCTAACTTTTAGGTTAAAATAAGACACATTTTGTTATTGGCTCCTCTTTGAGCTAACTCTAGTATCCTTTCCCCAACTGGGTATTGCACTGGGATTCACAAATCTTCCAAGAACAGACCTAATGGAGTTTGAATATGTGATGGACTCTTCATTCAAATTCTTGGTCTAATGTGCCTTAATTTTCAAATATTTATCAAGTAGTTACTCATTATTGGGTTAGAAAACAGCCCTGGATCCGTGGTACCCTGGAAAATCTGCATTTTTTTTTTTTTTTTTTTTTTTGTGTGTGTGTGTGTGTGTGTGTGGTTTTTCAAGATAGGGTTTCACTGTGTAGCCCTGGCTATCCTGGAACTCACTTTGTAGACCAGGCTGGCTTTGAACTCATGAAGATCTGCCTACCTCTACCTCCTGAGTGCTGGTATTAAGGGCATGCACGACCACCACCCATCTAATTTTACAAACATTTGGCCCATGGTCCTCCGTGCATCCCAAGAGTCATCCACCATTTGACCCTTTCCACCAGTGGAACAGTATTGGCCATTTAAAGGTTTTGTCCTCTTGCATAGTGAATCAATTAAGAGCCAAGGCAGAGTGGCCTCCTGGTTAAAAAAACAGAAAACCAAAAACCAAGGTCTGGAATGGCAATCTGTGCTGTGTTTACAGGACATGGTTGCAGGCAGGTTCTGTATCTGCCACCAAGCCAGTCAGAATCACTACCAGTGCCTCAATGTCTGAGATTTAATGTTTATCAAAGATGGAGATGCCAAACCCAGAACAACATTCAGTCTCTTGTCTTTCTGCCTGGCCAGTCCTTGGCTTCCCTTGTGCTTCCTCTTGTTAGTTTGAACTTGTCTTTCCGGGACTATGAAGTGGGGATGGCACTTTAAACGTTGTTGGGTCTGTGGCCAACCACCTCGAACACACCATATCTCATCTGAAATGCGGCTGAAATGACTTAAGCAGTGGATGTGGTACAGAGTCCTCACACAGTGCTGGCTTAGGCAGGGGTTCAGAACTGTCCTGCATAACATCCTTCATCAGCAGATGTTAGGCCCTTGATTTCCCTAACTCTGACACCTGTCTTTCTCTTAGACCGCTGTTTGTCCTGCGGTAGGAAGAACCCTGTGTCCTTCCACCCCCTCTTTGAGGGTGGGCTCTGTCAGAGTTGCCGGGTGAGTCTTCCTGCCCTTTCCTCCTGTCACATCCTTGCCCGTCCAGGCCCCCAGCCCTGTTCCTGCTCCAGGCATGAGTGAACAGCTTCCCAGGGCACATCCCCCCACTTCCTGTTTGGGGGACAGGTGCTGCAGCAGAGAAGGCCCTCCAATCACATGTACTGTCACTGAAGAGCATGCCAGGTCACCAGCTAGGGCCCCAGCCAGCTTGCTAGCCAGGCCTGGCTGAGGTCAGGTCTGTGGTCTCACGTGCTTCTCTCTGGTGGTCAGGATCGCTTCCTGGAGCTCTTCTACATGTATGACGAGGATGGCTATCAGTCCTACTGCACCGTGTGCTGCGAGGGCCGTGAGCTGCTTCTGTGTAGCAACACGAGCTGCTGTAGGTGAGTGTCGTTCTGGGGGGGCCGGACAAGAGGACCTCAGATCCCTGGTGTACCTCACAGTTCCTGCAGTCTGTAGGCAGCTACAATCAAACAGAAAATGAGCACCCAGTGGATAGTCTCTGGAATCTGGTGCTCACGGGCATGAACATGAACTGCATTGACGCATAGTGCTGGACTCGGGTCAGTGTGCCTGTGAGGTCAACCCTGTGAGGTTTCTGTTGAAAGGCTCTAGATCTGAAGGGAGTGTGAAGGATCCATATTCAAGAAGGGGTTTGTTAGCCAGGTGGTGATGGCGCAAGCCTTTAATCCCAGCACTCGGGAGTCAGAGCAAGATGGATCTCTGTGAGTTCAAGGCCAACTTGGTCTACAGAGGGAGCTCCAGGACAGGCAACAAAACTACACAGAGAAACCTTGTCTTGAAAAACCAAAGAAAAAGGAGGGGAGGCTTGTTATCCTATATCTCAAAACACATGGAGGCAGGAGGCTGAGCATCAGGCAGGAGATCTAACTGGGCCTGCATGACAAATGTCTGGTAACCTTGATGCCCATTCTCTCTGGATACTCTGGTACAGGTGCTTCTGTGTGGAGTGTCTGGAGGTGCTGGTGGGTACAGGGACAGCTGAGGATGCCAAGCTGAAGGAACCCTGGAGCTGCTATATGTGCCTCCCACAGCGCTGCCATGGGGTCCTCAGGCGCAGGAAGGATTGGAACATGCGCCTGCAAGACTTCTTCACTACTGATCCTGACCTCGAAGAATTTGTAAGCCATGGCCGACAGTTCTCTCTTCCAGTGCCTTCTGAGGAGGGAACAAGACGGAATGTTCGGAGCCTGTGGGTGACAAGAGCAGCTGCTCCCACATTGTAGGAGTTGATCTTCTGTTCTTAGAGGCCTTGGCAGTTACTGGTCAAGCTCCTTATCTGGCTCTGTGTGTCTGTAGGAGGCGGCTGTCCCTCCTATCTAAGGACAGGATGGCCAGCCTGTGGCAAATGCTTTCTTCCCGGTTCCCATCAAAGCATCTGGGCACAGGAGGATGGATGGACACGCTGAGGCATCACTCTCTTTGCTTATCTGGCAGGAGCCGCCCAAGTTGTACCCAGCAATTCCTGCAGCCAGGAGGAGGCCCATTAGAGTCCTGTCCCTGTTTGATGGAATTGCGACAGGTGAGTCTGAGGCAATGAAAGAAGCTTCTAGGCGGGCTGAAGGTGTCTGTCCTGTGACAGTTGAGGACAGTCGTAGCCCGGATGTCATGTGTACCCATTCTTGCTGCACTCCATGGCCTTTGTGCCTTCTCACACCACTCTTCATATGTGACTGTAAGCATGCATTTGCCCCGCAGACACTTGTGGAGATCAGCGAACAACGTCTCTCCCATGTGGGTTACCCAGATACCAGGCTTGGTGGCAAGTCCCTCTCCCTGGCCCCACTGGCCCTTTGTAAAGGGACATGTATCTCATTTTACTTGTTTTCCCTCTGTTCAAGCATCTGGAAGTTTCCTGGCCGCCCATGCGAATGTTATGATAATGAGGCAAAGCCCCTCAGTCTGGGCTCCTTTCTAGTTTTTCCTGTTTGTATGCACGCAGGAATCAGTCAGCATGCGCAGCACTCTCAGGTCTGCTGTGGCTCATGCAGGGTGCTTGCTCCCCTTTTAAAAGGACATACTTCTTAGCTCTTTGCATTTTAACTTTGATTCTTAAACTTTTCCTTCTGTGTACATAAATATATTCGTGATCAGTTAGGTAACAACTACCTTCCTCAATCCTGGTTCCTTTCCATTTTGTGAGATGTCCCATACATGGAAGGAGTGAGCATAGCCACTTTGGGCGATGCTGTGAGGTCCTCTGGAGTCAACACAGCTACTCTGAAGTGACAGTGATGGAGTGAGGGGATGGATCTTCATTCCCCTTGTCCTCACATTTCTATTTGATCCCTCACAGGGTACTTGGTGCTCAAAGAGCTGGGTATCAAAGTGGAAAAGTACGTCGCCTCCGAAGTTTGTTCAGAGTCCATCGCTGTGGGAACTGTTAAGCATGAAGGCCAAATCAAATACGTGGATGACATCAGGAACATCACAAAGGGAGACGTGAGGGTGGCTTTTTTTCCTTGTTCTTCTGTGTCCTGGACCTTGGTCTCATGGTGTTCTATCTCTTTCCCTCAGGCCTAGGGTTGTGGGTAGAAGAGAACTAGAGACATTTCAGAAAAAGTGACAGAATAGGAATATTTCAGGACTTCTAGTGGAACGTGAGCATTGATGGAGGCTCCATGGTCTGGAACTGGAGTTGCTGACCGAGCAAGTTTCTAGGACTGACTTTTCTTAGCAACTTCTCTAATAATCTAAGCTTTCTTTATTTTTAAATTAAAAACAATTTATCATCATCACCACCACCACCCCCACCACCACCATCATAATCATCATCATCATCAGTGTGTGCGTGCATGTACATGGATGAAGGTGACAGTACCGTGGCACATATATGGAGATGAGAGGACAACTTTGTGGAGTCAGTCCTCTCCTTCCACATTTACATAGGTTTTTGGGATCACACTCAGGTTGCCAGGCTCACATGGCAGGTACCTATACACCTCCAAGCCATCTCGCCTGCCCCAGAATCAAGGATTCCCTCCTCCCTCCGGCTCATCCCAGCATTTTGTGTTTTCTCTTAGGTTGATGAGTGGGGCCCATTCGACTTGGTGATTGGTGGAAGCCCTTGCAATGACCTCTCCTGTGTGAATCCTGTCAGGAAAGGCCTGTTTGGTGAGCAGCCATTTGTTTTGGCTCACAGAGATCCTACCATATCTGAGTGCTGGTCCACGTGGGGTGGCCGGGGAAGAAGCTGTTGGCTTCTGTTCATTCTTGTTTAGCACTGGTCCTTAAGTACTGCCTTTGCAAATCCTCAGCCCCCAGAGAAAGGTGTTAGTGAATGGTGTCCTGCTGCTCCCTGTGTCCTTGCCTGGTCATTCCGGGGGACTAACGGGGTTGGCATGTGAGGGCACTGGCTTCATTGATGGGGCTTATCAAGATTCCCTTGGTCTCAGGGAATGTGGGGGCTTGCATTGAAGCTTTTGATCAAACCCTGTTCTCGGATGTTCTTTATGGATATAGAGGGCACCGGCCGACTCTTCTTCGAGTTTTACCGGTTGCTGAATTACTCACGTCCTGGGGAGTGTGACAACCGTCCGTTCTTCTGGATGTTTGAGAATGTGGTGGCCATGGAGGTTGGTGACAAGAGGGACATCTCACGATTCCTGGAGGTGAGTGGCCTGAGTGTCAAGACAACTTGGGTCAGGGAGACCACGTTGGCATTAAGGCTACTGAGTGTTGACAGGTGGGAATGATTCCCCAGTTTGTGGCTAAATCTGGGGAGGAAAGACACTGCCCACTTTTGAGTGGAGACATTTATCCCTGACGTGACCCTGCCTGTGCAAGGCACTGGCGATGACACCAGCTCCACTTCCACTTTAGTCAGTTCCTGCTTCCGTTTTCTTCTGGAAATGGTAGCTTCAGGAGTTACAGAGAAGTTAAATATCCACCACTTGCGTTACAGCAAACACTGTATGTAGCAAGCTGCTTTCCTTAGCTGAGGAGGAAGATTCCACAACCCTTCTCTTGTATTTTTGACTCTAAAACCAGAACCGTGTGAACCAAGTTCAGCTGCTGGGTAGGGCTGGAATTTGGGCCCTTTTCAATTAACATCCGCATCAGTTTTCTGTTGTCGAGGGTCTCCTTCACTGTTTAAGCTTTTCTTTAATTCCTCTTCACAAGCTGAAAACAAAGTTGGGCGGGGTCTTGCCTTTCCCTGAGGTCACCACTCCTTTTACTCCATTTAGCATTAGACTTTTAAAAAAACTTTTTATCTCCGTGAACACTGGACTTAGCTCCATTACGCTTCCTGGTGCTTCCTTTCTCCTCAAAGTGTACACTTTGTATTTCTCTTTATCCAGCTTGGTCCTTTTCATTATAGATCTGCATAAGAGTGATTACTGATAACCATACTACACAGTTATCCTGAAACTCTTCAATTTAGCCTCAGGCAGCTTTTTAGGATAAAAGCAGAAAGCAGCCACCCTCTCTGCCAAAGTATCACCAGAATGGTCTCTAGGCCACTTACTAATATTCTTCTCCTCTGAAACTTCTTGAGCTGGGTCCACATTGCTCTCAGCATTACTATCCATGTTCCTACTAGTATGCCCCACTTTTTTTTTTTTTTTTTTTTTGGTTTTTCGAGACAGGGTTTCTCTGTGTAGCTTTGCACCTTTCCTGGGACTCACTTGGTAGCCCAGGCTGGCCTTGAACTCACAGAGATCCGCCTGGCTCTGCCTCCCCAGTGCTGGGATTAAAGGCATGCGCCACCACTGCCCGGCTGTATGCCCCACTTTTAAGCTTCAGTGATCAACTGCTTTTCTGCTCAAAGTCCCAAAGTTCACATTCTGCCAATAGACAGCATGGTCAGGTCTCTCACAGCACTAACCCAACTCCCGGTACCAACTTTTGTCCTGGCCACTGTTCTTTTGCTGTGAACATCCATCGGCTCTGCTCCAGCCAGCCTCTGGGTGGGAACTGGTCTGTCTCCTTTCCTCTTGTTGTGTAGCTAGGAAAGCCTTGTCACCCGACAGGTCAGACCTGGGCTGACTGACAGCTGAGTCTTGAGGTGTCCCCAGCAGCTCCCCTTCTCTTGCTGCAGTGCAACCCAGTGATGATCGATGCCATCAAGGTTTCTGCCGCTCACAGGGCCCGATACTTCTGGGGCAACCTCCCTGGGATGAACAGGTAAGAACCCTGAGCGGGACGGGTAACAGACAGCCAAGTTATATACAAGTCTGACTGGCATCCTAACCTTCTAGAAAGTTTTAGAGCTTTAGGATGCTCTGGATGAGTGGAGCACTGGGCAGGACTCCTGGGGCAGCTGCCTTGCGCTAGCTGCAGGGCTGGTGGGCGTTTCTCAAGGTCCCCATGAGGACTGAGAACCGGGAAGCCTCCCTGTTCTTCCTGCTGTGCTGTCTTCCACTGCAAATGTTGAGTGTCAGAGACGCCATTCCTTCTGCCCCTGAGATGAAGTGGGCCTTGGCCTAGGTGACTGGTGACCAACCAGGGGGGAGAGCTGAGTGTCAAACAGTAGCACAGATGCTGGCTCCTTCTGGTTCCCTCAGTCAGGGACATTTCCACCCTTAAAAGAAACTGCTTTTGAGATTATAATTTAATTGTAACATTCCTCCCCCCAAGTCCTTCCTTATACTCCTCCCTGCTCCTTCAAATTCATGGCCTTTCACTTTATGAATTGTTATTGCATGCAAATATGTACTTGTATATACATATATATTCCTAAATATAACCTGTTACGTCCATATAATGTTATTTGCATGTACGTTTTCAGGGCTGACTATTTGGCACTAGACCATCATTTGGTGTGATCTTCCCTGGGGAAGGCCACCTTTCCCGTTCCCAGCTTTCCTCAGTTGCTATAGCTCTCTGTGTAGGGCTGAGGCCTCGTAGGGCTTTTCTTCGTCCACTTTGGCATGCTCGTTGGTGTCGTCCTTACTCATCTCACATTTGTGTAGCCGTACCCAGTGTTTGGTCTCAGGATTAGACACAAAGCAAGCAGTTTTGCAGACGCCTCCTTATATCATCCTTTGTGATTTCAAGAACAGCTTGCTAACTAAGATGCGCAATGTGACCGCAGTGACCATCCCGTATATGCAAATGAGTTAAGCTGTGAAACACTTTCAGAAAGGTGTGTTAGAAGCATAAACTTTGGGAGTCTGGCAGAGTGTGGACAGAAGTCAGAGGGTCCTGGAACAGTTTGGAGATTTCTCTTAGATATTGTGACATTTTTTAATTCAAATTTTTAATATTGTTTTTACCCCTTGGATATTCAATATTTATTCAGCTAACCATCTAATCAGAAGGTACCATGTTTTTGTTTGGAATCACATGGGCTGATTTATTCAACATTCAAGCTCTCCCTGCCAAGCACTGTATTGCTACCAATTCAATGGGGGGCACAGCGATGTCAGTGGCTCTTGTCGAGTAAACAGATTAGTGGGAGGGGTAGAGAACACAGTGAGTAACTGTATGTTCATGGTTGGGGAGACGGCATTGGAAAGTAGGGTAGGGAAAGAGAGAGGCCTCATCCATCAGAACTAAAGGAATGGAGCCAATCCAGGCAGAAAGGAGGGCTCTGGGATAGAAGGTGGGCAGGTACCCCCAGACCAGCTTGTAGATCAGTATTCTTAGGTCAAGAGTGACTGGAAAAGAGAGATGCAAGTATCTCTGACTGGATCCTGCAGGCCTGGTACATGGTGCCACTTAGTTGTACATGGGCATAGGGTATTACAAGAGATTAATTGTAGTGAATTTAAGCGATTAAGGGGTACTGTGTCTAGTAGAAGGAAAAGAGAAAGAGCAGAGACGAGGACACTGGTGAGGTGGTACATTGCAGAAGGAGTTGAGATGGCCAACTGTTACGCTGTGTCCCAGAAGGTGCCATCCGGTGAGAAAGGAAATGAGGTTGGTGGCAGTGACCTCTGGAGTTTATAGGATGATGGGCTGTTGTAACTGAGCACTGATGGGTGACAGAGTGGGTGCATGAGGCGTCAGATGGGCTGAGGCCTGAATCATCTGGTTTGTGAAGATCTTTTCACGATATAGCCCTGGCTGGCCTGGGACTCCTTATGTAGACCATGGCTGGCCTTGACCTCACAAAGATCCTTCTGCCTCTGCCTCCTTAGGGCTGGGATTAAAGGTGTGCGCCACCATGCTCAGTGTTTGTATGAATCTTAATCTTTGAATCTATATAATGCCGAGCTTTCCATGTCCCTTTTCTCCTGGCCCCTCACCTTACTTAGGTCCATGGAGGATATAAAAGGAGAAAGGGAGCCAGTGAGATGGCTCAGTGGATAAAGGAGCTTGCTGTACAAGCCTGATGGCTTGATCCCCGGAACTCCTGTAAAGGTGGAAGGAGAGAACTGACTTGACCAAGTTGTCCTCTGACCTCCAAACATGCACTGTGGCATGAATGTCCACATACATCAAACACACATGTACACATTAGTAATAGATTTTTAAAAGAAGAATTAGGGCTGGCTTTGGACAGCCGAAAGGTGTGGTCAAGGGAAATTCTTGGCGTGATTCCTCAGCCCCTCTGCGGCACTCTCTCTTTCTTTCCTTCTGAGGTCCCTAACTGGGGCCATGACAGTGTTGATGGCTCCCGCATGCAGATGGTTCGAGGACACCTGCTTCCAGCTCTTGCCTTCTCAGCTTGCTTGTCTCTGTATTTTGCAAAACAGGTTGCCAGAGAGAAAGTAAAAAGTTTGAGTGTCCTTCCTTGCGAGGATGGCACCCACTTAAAGCCTCTTGAGCTTCATTTTTAAAGTGTGGGATACTCATATGAAGGTGACTCACCAACATCTAGACCAGTGGTTCTCAACCTTCCTAATGCTGTGACCCTTTAAGTTCCTCATGTTGTGGTGACCCCCAACCATAGTTATTTTTGTTGCTACTTCATAACTGTAACTTTGCTACTGCTACGAATTGTAATGTAAATATCTGTGTTTTCCGATGGTCTTAGGTGACCCCCGTGAAAGGGCTGTCCACCCCTAGAGGGATCAAGATCTACAGGTTGAGAACTGCTGATCTAGACCAAGTTCCTCTATCACATTTTCCTGGTCTGCACAGATCCCACTGTAGTGCTCCTGTCCCTCTGTGGGAGCCTCACTTTGCCCAATACTAACATCTAAAGTTCAGAGAAACACTACCTCTGGGCCCTGGGCTGTACTCTTCAGGGACTAGTGGACTCTTGGTCTTACCACACAGAATTGTCAGTTTTCATCCTGTGGCTGAACATGGTCACTGCCAGAGTACACTTGGGCAAAGCAGATTCTCTCCTCACCTGACTTGTAAAGTCTCTAGTGTAGACCTCCAGGGCAGAGACTGGAGAGTAATGGGTTTTGGCTGTTCCCAGGCCCGTGATAGCTTCAAAGAATGATAAGCTCGAGCTGCAGGACTGCTTGGAGTTCAGTAGGACAGCAAAGGTAAGATGCTGAGTGGTCTATGCTGCACCTTCTGGAAAACTGACCTTGGCTCTATCCACGTGGCTCCTGCTCACTCCCTCACAGATTCCTGGTGCTGGGCCTCTTTCCTCTCCCCACAGAATTGTTCTGTGTCTTCTTCAAGTACAGAGTAGGAGATGTTCTTGGTGAATAATCTCAGTAAGAAAATGCAAGCGGGCTCTGTAGTGGTTAATGCTGGAGGTCCAGAGGCTGTGCTGCAGGTGATCTCTGCAGTAAGGAGCAGTGGCCGATGCTGTGAAGTCAGATGCACAGGAAGGCCTCGGAGTGCCTACTCCTCCATATCTGTGAAAAGCGAAGGCCTGTTGCCCAAGCTCTGGTTGGACATTCTGAGTCTGGGTGGTTTTTGCTCTTAATGACCCTTTTGATCAGTAACTGGTGTCTTGGCCCCCATGTGCTCCTTCATGGTCACTTTTGGCTAAAATTTATGTGGCATTTGTGAGAAGCAGAAAAAAAATCTCTTTAAGTAAGTCTCGTCTCTTTGTCCTCTCTCTGTGTATGCCTGTCCCTGTCACCTCTAATTCATGCCTTCCATCCTCTGCCCTCTGGATTCTTCTGAGGCTGACTCCACATAGAAGCCTTCTGTGCTCACCCCAAAATGTTTTTCCCCCTTCCAGTTAAAGAAAGTACAGACAATAACCACCAAGTCGAACTCCATCAGACAGGGGAAAAACCAGCTTTTCCCTGTAGTCATGAATGGCAAGGACGATGTTTTGTGGTGTACTGAGCTCGAAAGGTGAGTGTGTTAGTTACTCTTCTATTGCTGTGATAGGACACTAGGACCAAGGACGTTTATAAAACGAAGAGTTTATTTGTGCTTACAGTTCCAGAGGAGTAAGAGTCCATTATGTCAGGGAAGTAGGAAGCATGGCAGCAGGCACGGTGGTTCCAATGGCCAGCTGAGAACTCACGTCTTGAACAGCAAGCATGAAAGCAGAGAGAGAGAGAGAGAGAGAGAGAGAGAGAGAGAACTAGAAATGGTGGAATCTTTAGACTCGCAAAGGTCTCCCCTAGTGGCACACTTACTACCGCAAGGCCGCATCTTCTTCTTCTTCTTCTTCTTCTTTTTTTTTTTTTTGGTTTTTTGAGACAGGGTTTCTCTGTGTAGCTTTGCGCCTTTCCTGGATCTCGCTCTGTAGCCCAGGCTGGCCTCAAACTCACAGAGATCCGGCTCTGCCTCCCGAGTGCTGGGATTAAAGGTGTGCGCCACCACCGCTGGGCAGGTCTCATCTTCTAACCCCACCCAAAAAGCATTGCCAACCGCAGACTGTATTCAAATATCTGAGACTACACGGTGTTTATCACTCTACTCACCACAGTGAACAAGGCTGCACTGGGAGAGGGAATCTGTGGGGACAGAGGCAGGAGGGAGAGTGTGGAATCAGAGTCAGTAGCACACATAGCCCTCACTCCGTAGCTTTAGTTGCTGTGGTTCCTCCAGGTCCCACTGGCCCTAAGCAGTGGGGTCTGCATGATAATCATTTTTCAGAACTAGCCCTTCTTTTCCCACAGAAACGGCGACACTGTGGCGATGAGAAATCTCAGGCATGAGGTTCGTAGATGGCGCTGCCTCTGTCACCTGCGCTGCCCTGACATTTCCCTGTCCCAACTTTCTGGGTTTTTAGGAAAATGGGAAACCCCTCAGCTCTTTCAGCCACACTCCTCATGGGGCACCTGGTTTCTCCTTGGTCACAGTCTGTCTTTAACCTCTAATGCTTTATTGGGCTACGTTGTCCCTTGTCACGTGGAGATCTGACTCTTGGATTTCAAGTCTTTCTTTCTTTCTTTCTTTCTTTCTTTCTTTCTTTCTTTCTTTCTTTTTTTTTTTTATGTCGCAGCTCTATTCTGAAGACTTTCGTATTGAATATTTTCATCACAAACCCCAGTTCTGATTTTATTTTTTCTTTGACAAATAGTTTTAATAAAAATGTAACCTCTTTTTAGGGGCAAGGCAAAGCTCACTCTGTAGCTAGCATACTCTGTAGCCAGCCTGGAACTCAGTATGTAGCCTAGGTTGCAACACAAACTCATGGCCGTCAGGTTGCCTCAGTCTCCCAAGGGCTGCACTATAGGCATGAGCCACCATACACAGCCTAGAAAGTTCATTTCTGGGCTGGTGAGAGGGATCAGCAGGTAAAGGCGCTTGACCCGAGAAAGTTGTCCTCTGCCCAAACACATATACACATGCATATACATGAACTAAGTAAATCCAAATAATTGAAAAATAGTAATTTCTCATTCGTAGAAGAACTGTAGACAACATTGCTCGGTCTATCTGTGAAAAGAACCTTCTGGGAATCCTGGCAAGGTGTTCAGAGTTGTGATTCAGAGGCCTGGTGCAGAAGGATGACACAATGGAAATGTCAAAGCAAAGGAAACCACGCTGGAGATAGTCTTTGGCTCATTGGTGCTGTTTCTAGAACTGGGTTATAAGAATTTATTTCTTTAAAATGTTATTATTATTGGTGTTTTGCCTGTATATTTGTCTGTGCCTGGACAAATGCTGTAGGCAGACTCTGAATTCTTCTTTTTTAAATTTCTTCTTTTAAATTTTATTTTGTGTGCATTGGTGTTTTGCCTGTGTGTATGTCTGTGTGAGGATCCCCTGGAACTGGAGTTACAGACAGTTGTGAGCTGCCATGTAGGTGCTGGGAATTGAACCCGGGTCCTCTGGAAGAGCAGTCAGTGCTCTCAACCGCTAAGCCATCTCTCCAGATTCTGAATTCTAAATTGTACTCAACTGAACTGGGGTTGAAACATCTGCTCTGCTGTTTTGGGAGTGACTTTGTCCCCCCCCCCCCCCCCCCCCCCTGGTTTTTGAGACAGGGTTTCCCTGTGTAGTTTTGGTGCCTGTCCTGGATCTTGCTCTGTAGACCAGGCTGGCCTCGAATTCACAGAGATCCTCTTGCCTCTGCCTGGGATTAAAGGCGTGCTCCACCACCGCCCAGCTACTTTCTTCCTTCTTAAAGAGACTGTGGGGCTGAGGAGATAGCTCCATCACTACAGTGCTTGTCAGGCAAGCGTGGGGACTTGAGTTCAAGCCAAGTGTGGCAGGCGGAGCAAGGGGATCCCTGGCGCTTGCTGACCGTCCAGCCTAGTTGAATCTGTAAGTTCCGAGAGAGCCGGTCTCAAAAAAAAAAGTGAATGCCTGGCCCCTGGAGAGTAACACCTGAGGACTGAGGATAGCCTCTGGCCACAGACATGTGCACACATACATCTCTCCACCCCAGGAAACTGCTAAACTTCTCTCATTGCGTTCTGAAGTCAAATACAAGTGTGCGGACTGACTGGCAATCGTGGATTAATTCACACTAGGCACTTAAGAATGGTCCCTGTGCAGCACATGCGGACCAGAAGCATAGTCCCAGCGCGAGGGACACGAGACAGCACAGTGCCCTGTGACTCAGCTATCAGCTGTCAGCAAGTGTTCTGAGGAACCAGTGGAACTGGTAGTCTAGAAGGTTCCTTTGAGCCCAATAGTCCTGACGGAAGGCGTGGGGAAGTGTAATTGTGGGCAGAGACGGTGGCAGCCGGCTAGCTTTCCTCAGCCTGGACTTCCAGAACACAGCTGTTCTTGGTGTGCCGGGGACATGGGCCCTTCTAACCTTCTGTCTTTTCTCTCTGTGCTCGCCCAGGATCTTCGGCTTTCCTGCGCACTACACTGACGTGTCCAACATGGGCCGCGGCGCCCGCCAGAAGCTGCTGGGAAGGTCCTGGAGTGTGCCAGTCATCAGACACCTCTTTGCCCCCTTGAAGGACTACTTTGCATGTGAATAGTTCTACCCAGGACAGGGGAGCTCTGGGGTCTTGGGGCTAATGCCAGCTGTTCGGAGTCATACTGATCCTCGAAGCACCCCAGCTCTGACCTTCCTTAGCTCGCCTCTGTGGGGTCTCACTATATACTCAGTTCTCTTCTGCTCAGTGGTAGCAGAGCCTCCTGGCCCTACAGGGGAACCTACTTGTGCACAGCTCAGATCTGGCATCTTACAGTGGCCCAACATGGTTCTCATGTTTTCCCAGTTTAAAACTTTACAACCAAGCCGGGCAGTGGTGGCACATGCCTTTACTCCCAGCGCTCATGAGGCAGAGGCAGACGGATCTCTCTGAGTTTGAGGCCAGCCTGGTCTACAGAGCAAGTTCCAGGACAGCCAAGGCTACCCAGAGAAACTCTGTACTGAAAACCCCAAACCATACCCCCAAAACCAGAGTCATGTGACAACATGGGAGAAACTGTGCTTTGTTTCAACAGTTTTTCCTGACAAATGACTGATGAATAGTTTACCCTTTCGTTTAATTAAAATCAATATTTCTCATCTGTACTTTGTTCTTTTGTGGAAATGTGTCATCCATTCATCAAGCACAGGGATGCCTAGGGTCTGCAGGGGCTCATGGAACCTGAGACCTCCTGCAGTGCCCTCAGAACACTGCGTCAAAATCCCCTGGGAGCATCTCACGGTCCTTGCTGCGAGCCCCATTGACAGTCTCCGCTTCATTTGTGGCTGCTCCAGGGCTAGAAAGGCCTATTTAAGCCTTAAATTCCAGTTTATTTTCTGTTGCTCTGACTTGCTGGGCCTAGTGGCACACCTTCAATTCCAGCACAGGGGAAGCAGAGGCAGGTGGATCTCTAGGAGTTCGGGACAGCTAGGTCTACATATCAAGTTCCAGGCTAGTCAGGGCTACACAGTGGTACCCTGTCTGAAACAAAACATCTCCTCCCCCCAAAGAAAACAAAACCTCATATTCTGACCCAAAGCAACTCAGTCTTTATTTGTCTTACATTTCTAGATCACAGACCCTCATGGAGAGACGTCAGAACTCAAGCAGGAAGTGAAGCAAAACCATGGAGAAATGCTGCTTACTGGCCCACTCCCTGGTTTACTTAGCTAGCTTTCTCATATAGCACAGGCCCACTTGCCTATGAATGGCGCTGCCCATAGTGGGCTGGGCCCTCCCATATCAGTTATCAATCAAGATAATCTTCCACAGACATTGTCACAGGCCAATCTGATCTGGGCATTCCTTGAATTGAGACTCCCCTTTTCCAGGTGACTCTAGGTTGAGTCAAGTTGACAATACAAACTAACTAGGACATTTGGCAAAGGCTTGATTGTGACACTCATCTCCAGACTTCTTAGGAAGCTGATCAGATGATACCCATGCAGAAGAACATGAGCCCTGATTTCTACTGTTCCTCACAACTTCCATGGGAGTCTGCTGAACCTCATTTCCCAGTTGTCCAGTTGACATGGTGCAGCTACCTTTAGTGACCAGGATGGCTGGGAATGGCTTTTGTGATTCTAACAAGCTTTTTAAGTTTTGAATTTCATCTATCATTAGTAATTAGCATGCATGTGTGTTTAGCACAGCATGTGTGTGGAGGTCACAGGACAACCTTGTGGAATGGGTTCTCCCTGGGCATCAAACTCAAATCATCAGGCTTGTGCAGTAGGTACCCTCCCCCACTGACCGACCCATCTCACCGGCACTTAACATAATCTTTCATCTAGACTGGTTTAGAGTGAGTTGGATGCCCAGACTAACATCTTATTTATTGACCATTTAAAGCTGTACTTGTTTCCTCACACTCAAAACTGCAATCGCCTCTGATGGCTCCTCCTTAGTTTGGCTGGAGCCAGCTAGTGACCAAGGTGTGTCCAACACCTGGAGCCCATCATGACATGTTCCAGCCTTTAGTCAAGAAGCAGGGGCCAAGGAGAGCCTACTTCAGTTACCGGCATGTGGGACAGAGGGTAAGATGCTCACGGGGTGCATGTGGCCCTGGGTTAACCTCACACTGATCCCTCTCTGCTTCACGGTGTGCCACGGTCAGGGTCTCAGAGGGTCTGGCCCAGGGTTAACTCGTACAGATAGGGTGAGAAGAAGCTTTGCAATCGGAAGGCTGGAAAACCACATAGGTTATTAGAAAGTTGCCTCCCGCTAGAGCATCCCTGCTGAGGTTTGCCATGGCGACACAACTTGCCATTAGCAAAAGACTGGGCCTGTGTACTCTACTCTCCGAGGACTGGAGACCCGAGGGACGGCTGCTGCCCAATTAAGCCATCTTGTGTACAGCACTGCACCAAATGCCAGGACAAGATGAAGCAGAATAAACAGCTCCCTCCTCAGAACCTCAAGAGAAGAAACCGACGGGCCCTCCAGGTGAGGGGCTCTAGGGTGTCCCGGCCTGCTTATGGGGTGGCTGGTGGAGGCCTCGAGGGGGGGGCAGTGGTAATCTGTAACTTTTCTCAGGGTAGGCTAGGCTTGAATGTGAGTGACCCAGGCTGTGTGGCTGTGGAGGAGTATGAACACAGTGGGACAATGGTTGGAGTTGGCATCCCATGTAGGTCTCTCGGAGCGCTCTCGTGGGTTTGTGTCTGGGGTCTGACACACTGCTGTATTGCCTCAAGCAGATGCCTTGAGTTCCAGAGCTTTTAATTTCACATTTCACAGGCGAGAATAATACATCCTACATACTTTATAGGTTGGTGAATTCCATGGGCGAGATCTGGAGAAAATACTTTGCTTCATGCCTTTTAGGCAACAAGCCTTACACTTGTAATAGACGGCATTAAGAAAACGAAAGCCATCCATCATCTTGATGTTAGTGGCAGTGAAGACGGTGGTAATGAGAGCAACAGGCAATGATTATGAATCATGAAGTCCTTAAAAAGGATGGGACAGTATGGCCCAGATGGGCAGCAGCTGCCCACTGGCAACAGCAGCATCTGGTACTGTGTCCCTCATCATCCTTCACCGTTTGAGGTCTTAGTGTTGTTAGGGAAGCAGCAAGGTGGCTGTTGGTGAGAGGCAGGGATCTTGTCTGAGTTTCAGGACCTGGCCCCGGGTCGGTCCCATGGCCGTGTGGCAGTGGGAGGGTGAGCACAAGGCACATGGCCCTCCCATCCTCCCATCCCTCTTGTTTTCTAGCTAAGTAATTAAGTGTCTGCACTGGGATGTTCTTGGTTCCTTATTCCTCTCTGGAGCTAGATTATCTGGGTTCCCATATTGGCGGCCCATTCCATGTGAGTTTGGGTGTTTTGGTATCCTCTTTGGGTCTCTCCGCACCCCGGCTATGAACTCTCAGCCTCACAGGGCTGGTATGTGGCTCAAATGATTGAGTGTTCTGGAAGCATGGCTGAGAAATGCTATTTCCTGCAGTTGAGCCCTCCTAGCAACTTCTGGGAGGCCTGACCACTGCAGCTGTGGGGGCAGAGAACTGGGAGAGGCCACTTCACAGGGACACACAGCTATCAGGCTGAGGGTAGCAAGCAGAAGCCTGACCCCTGCGGCCAGTCTGTCTTTGCTCCTCGATCCTGCCGGCATCTTGTTTTGCTTTGCTTCGGTGGAACTTAAAATTCCCCGCAGCCGTCGGCACTTGTACGGTTTGTTGCCTTCACGCTACCTTCCCACCTTCCCACCTTCCCCTGCCCTCCTTCCCACCTTCCCACTTTCCCACCTTCCCCTGTCCTCCTTCCCACCTTCCCCTACCCTCCTTCCCACCTTCCCACCTTCCCCTGCCCACCTTCCCACCTTCCCCTGCCCACCTTCCCACTTTCCCACCTTCCCCTGCCCTCCTTCCCACCTTCCCTCCTTCCCGCCTTCCCCTGTCCTCCTTCCCACCTTCCCTCCTTCCCACCTTCCCCTGCCCTCCTTCCCACCTTCCCTCCTTCCCACCTTCCCACCTTCCCCTGCCCACCTTCCCACCTTACCTCCTTCCCACCTTCCCCTGCCCACCTTCCCACCTTACCTCCTTCCCACCTTCCCCTGCCCTCCTTCCCACCTTACCTCCTTCCCACCTTCCCCTGCCCTCCTTCCCACCTTACCTCCTTCCCACCTTCCCCTGCCCTCCTTCCCACCTTACCTCCTTCCCACCTTCCCCTGCCCTCCTTCCCGCCTTCCCCTGCCCTCCTTCCCACCTTACCTCCTTCCCACCTTCCCCTGCCCTCCTTCCCGCCTTCCCCTGCCCTCCTTTCCACCTTCCCACCTTCCCCTGCCCTCCTTCCCACCTTCCCACCTTCCCCTGCCCACCTTCCCACCTTCCCACCTTCCCCTGCCCTCCTTCCCACCTTCCCACCTCCCCCTGCCCTCCTTCCCACCTTCCCCTGCCCTCCTTCCCGCCTTCCCACCTCCCCCTGCCCTCCTTCCTCACCTTCTATCTTGCTTCCTCCCTTTCCTCTTCTCCTGTCAGAATTTATTGAATTAAACCCCCCCCCAAAAAACCAACTTAGAACTAAGTTTTTATATGTATGAGTGTGTGTGTGTGTGTGTGTGTGTGTGTGTGTGTGTGTGTGTGTGACAGTCTACGTGTGGAGGTCAGAAGACACTTGTGGGAGTCAGTTCTCTCCATCTAGGTTGTGGGTCCTGTCTCTGTCTCCCCAGTGCTGGGGTTATAGGTCATGCCCAGCTTCTATGTGCATGCTGGGATCTGAACTCGGGCCCCCGTGGAGCCATGTCCCCAGCCCCTGTTTTTCATTGGGTGTGGGTCTTGAAGTCTGTGCACATGGTACATCACGATAGCCTGTAACCTTGGCACTGGGGAGGCAGAGGCAGGGATATTTGCACAAGATGGAAGACAGCATGGTCTACAGACTGAGTTCCTGCCTGGGTCACACAGTGGGACTCGGACTCCAGAAGCAGCAACAGGAGCAAAAGTGTTGTGGTGTGTGTGTGTGTCTGTGTGTGTGTGTCTGTGGTATGTGTGTGTGTGTGTCTGTGGTGTGTGTGTGTCTGTGGTATGTGTGTGTGTCTGTGGTGTGTGTGTGTGTGTGTGTCTGTGGTATGTGTGTCTGTGTCTGTGGTATGTGTGTGTGTGTGTGTCTGTGTCTGTGGTGTGTGTGTGTGTTTGTGGTATGTGTGTGTGTGTGTGTGTGTGTCTGTGGTGTGTGTGTGTGTCTGTGGTGTGTGTGTGTGTCTGTGGTGTGTGTGTGTGTTTGTGGTATGTGTGTGTGTGTGTGTGTGTCTGTGGTGTGTGTGTGTGTCTGTGGTGTGTGTGTGTGTCTGTGGTGTGTGTCTGTGTGTCTGTGGTGTGTCTGTGTCTGCGGTATGTGTGTGTGTGTGCTGAGACAGAGTGGCATGTATCCCAGACTGGCCTTGAACTTGTGATTCTCTTCCTTTCAGCCCCAAGTGCTGGGATTAGAGGCTGGGGCCACCATACCCCGTTTCTCAAACTGTTTCTCTGACAGGATGAAATTCTCTTTTCCATTTATTTTCTGATCAAAACGTACTGAGATGGAGATGAGCTTGGTGTATTA